ATTCACTGACTTTGGTTTTCATATAACGTACGCTTCATATAACGTAGATGACCCTCAAATGTCTTTTTTATACCCTCTATTTCTCTGTTCATGATGATCATGCTCTCCTCTATCTTCCTAAACACGTGGAACATATTGATAACAGCTGTTTTAAAGTTCTTGCCTCCTCATTCTATCATCTGGGTCATTTCTGATTTTGTTTCTATCTCTATGTCTCCTGGTTTGGGTGGTATTTTCCTGCCTGGTAGGACTGGCTGGATGCCATGCACTGTGGATGTTACATTGTTTGGTGCTGGATTTTACGGTCTTCCTTGATGTACTATTATTTCTCTTTGTTCTGGGATGCTGTTACTTTGAATCACTTGATGCTTCTAAAGCACTTGGAGGGCAAGCAGAGAATGTCCTTTAGTGGAGGGCTACTCTGACCCAGGAGGTCTCTACCCAGGGCTGCACATCTGGCTGCAAAGAACACAAACTAGGCACGGCCTTGGACTCCAAGAATTATTCCAAATGCTGCTTCCTGGTGGTCCCCTCTCTGGCCTCAGTAGTGTCCTCAAACTCCTGCAGGAATCACTAAGCTGCCTGAGACTCAGAGGCCCCTTCTGCAGATCTCCAGTTCCTCCTCTGTGTATCTAATTCCTCTCCAGTCATTTTTCTAGCAAATTCTAGAAATCGTGGCCCCCCAGGTTTTAGTACTGTCTCCTCAGTTCGGCGCTTTGCTCCCCATCCCTGCACTGTGGCTTGGAGACCCTGAGTTAGGTCAGTCGTAGGGAGCACTTAGTTTCAGTCCCCTCGGGGACCACTGCCTATCCCGGGCACCCTGCTTTCCAGGGTCTGAAAATCAGTGTTTCTTACATTTATCCGTTTTTATGGCTGTTTAACACAGGAGGATAGCTGTTCTCCATCACTACCATGGTCTGAAGTTGAAGTCCTCTTAGCCATTTGCTGTCAATTCTCATGCGGTACCTTCTGACTTTACTGTTGTCATTTCTCTCTAATCACTCATCTTCCTCCAAGACTGTAAGCTCTTGGAGTCCAGGCACTAGCTCTTGCTTATGAACAGTACCCTGTACAGTAGAATGCAGCCAGCACAAGAGAAGTCAAGTGAATAAAGCATGGGCAGAGCGAGGTGGATAGAAGAAAGGAGACATGAAGGTGCTCGGAGAGGAGCACCGTGAGACGTTGTTAACTATGAGACTTGTTCATCTGGTCGTGAGCTGCGACTTCCTCATTATTTAGACTCTGGCAGGACCATAACTGCCAGGAACCTCCTTGCCAAGAAGAGCCCAGCTTCACTCTGACAGCCCAGGTTCTTGACCCCTGGCCGATTCTCATCAGACCTGTCTGCTGAAGAGTGAAGAACTGACTCTAATCAGGCAGCATTAATTCTCTAAGATGAAAGTCTCACCATGTGCGATGAGTACACGAAAGACGGCAAATCAGCATTCCCCCAAAAGCACTGATTTTAGAGCCAGAAAGACCTGAAATCTGAATCCTAGGTGTGCTGCTTACCTGCTGTGCAAACTTAGATAAGTTGCTTGACTTCACTGAACTCTAGTTTCCCTATAAAATGGGGGTAATACCTAATATAGATGAAGAGAACCCAGGATTCATCATCCCTCAATAAATGATAGGAGTGGGTGCCTGGGCGGCTTGGTCGGTTAAGTGTCCGACCTTGGCTTGGGTCAGGATCTCACGGTCCGTGGGTTCAAGTCCCGCGTCAGGCTCTGAGCTGTCAGCACAGAATTTGAATTCTGTGCCCCACCCCCTCTCTCTGCCCCTTCCCCCACTCATGCTCTGTCTCACTGTCTCTCAAAAGTAAATAAATGTTAAAAAATAAATGGTAGTATTGTAGGTTTAATTAGGGTCCTTTAAGCAAAGATTGAAATCAGGTAAAATGCATTAGTAGCCACCTGGTAACAACTGTCCCCAGGGAGAACATTTTCTTGGAGGCCACCCAATGTGCAAATATGCACTGGGCAGGACACACTGCCTAATAATTATAAACCACAGGTGGAGGAATGCCAACTGATCTGTTTTCTAGCTTACTGGCTGCTTCTTCTAGAGGTGTGCCTGTCTGTCTGTCCGTCTGACACAGAGAACCGCAATCTACTCAGGTACTAAAGAACAGCTGGCAGAGGTCACCTGGGTGGCTCAATCGGTTAAACGTCCGACTTCGGCTCAGGTCATGATCTCAGGTTCGTGGGTTTGAGCCCCGCATTGGGCTCTGTGCTGACAGCTCAGAGCCTGCAGGCTGTTTCAGATTCTGTGTCTCCTTCTCTCTCTGACCCTCCCCTGCTCACACACACACTCTTTCTCAGAAATTTAAAAAAATAAAAAAATAAAAAAATGAATAGCTGGCAGGTCCTGGGGACCTAAGTTGGCAGGAAGCAGAGAGGGAATGTATGTTTGGCGGGAAAAAGTGAGGGAAAAAGGGGCACACAAAGCCCTGACAAGATGCTAATAGAATTTTTCAAACTACTGCGTCTTTCTTAATATATATTTATCAGAACTTTTGGAAGAGGCAGCTTAAGGCAGAGCGCTTTGAAAAAAACTGAGATTTACAAGAGAGCCATCGAAATCTTTTAAGGAGTAAACAGGAAAGGTTCAAAGGAAGTTTTAGAGAACAAATGCTTTCAGCTCAAAGAAGACAAGCTTCAGGAATAGTTAAGAAGACTCTCGGCGAACACAGAAAGGATTATGCAGAAAAAGGGGGTGGCCATCTGCTCTCTCGCTCTAGGGATGAATAAAATGAAAGGAAACGGGCTCAGTTGTGGCGCAAGGGGCCCACTCTAATGGCTATTAAAAATAGAAACAATTTTCTAAGGGACAGTGTGAGATTTCTTTCCCTGGAAATCTTCAAAAATAGAGTCAACAGCCAGTTTTCTAAGTGTGACGGGGGTACCATGTTGCCGAGGCGCAGTCCTGGGGTTTGAAGGGTTCCCTGCTGCGCCGTTTCTTACTCATTGTCCCCCCAGGGGCCCGATCAACAAAGGGCTTGAGCTTCTCTCTTTTTTTGAAATTTGTTTAATGTTTTATTTCTTTATTTATTTTTTGGAGAGACAGACAGAGTCGGACGCTTAACCGACAGAGCCACCCAGGGCCCCACTGACCTTTTCTCTTATAACCGACCTGAAGTGAGCCAGAGGAAGGTGGGTCTGGATGGAGACCAGGGCCACATGCACAGTGTCGAAGTGGGGGTTCCTCGGGGTGCACAGACATGGGCGGGGGGGGGGAGACATGCACTGGCCTTGCCAGCAGGGATGCGACCAGTGACAGGTATGCTTAGAGCCCCTAGGAAATAGGCTTCTCTATGAGGTGACAGATAGAGTACTGGACTATCACAGACAGAAAGCAACTGAATTTCCCAGCGGTCTAGGAAGAACAAAATTTGAATCTAAAGCTACCATAGGATGGTTTGAACCCGTACCGTGTGCCCCAGACCAGCAAAAGTGGGCACTTATATCTACAAGCCTGCAGCAGGGCAGTGGCTGAACGCGGCCTCCCTTTCTCGGCACGAGCAAAGGGAACAGTTTCCTTAGAGAATTAAAAAAAAAACAGGCAAACGTACTGGATTCTCTAGCTTCTGCGAGTCTGGGAAAAATCACTGCAAGGCTGTTCTAAATAACTGGGTCAAATCCGCTGTCGTGAACAAACTGCCATTTGCATTCAAGGCACAGAACGTGTGGGGGCAACAGGTGGGACGGCAGGTGTCCTGGAAGGTTCCAGAACTAGAACACGAGGCTGTGGGGGCTGCAGTGAGACCCTGGGACAATGGGGTCTTGCGGAGAAGCAACGGCCAAAGGTGTGTTTCATCCCTGACATGCTGTCAGGAAAGACATCATCCAGCAGCGCTTCTAGAAATTGTCAAACTGTATGGGACACCACCTCCCCATGGTTCCCACCTGAAGTGAGACCTCCAGGATGGAGACCCGTTAGGATCCAGAAGCCCCCCAGACAGGGCTTCTGTTGTACCACATGCCCCCAGCAGCACCGGGATTGCGACGGCCTGCTCCTCGCTGTTGAAAATGACCACCCACGGGGCGGCTGTCAGTTAAGTGTCCGACTTCAGCTCAGGCCATGATCTCATGGTTTATGAGTTCGAGCCCCACATTGGGCTCTGTGCTGACAGCTCAGAGCCTGGAGCCTGCTTCGGATTCTGTGTTTCCCTCCCTCTCTCTCTGCCCCTCCACCACTCGTGCTCTGTCTCTGCCTCTCAAAAAGAAATAAAATGTTTTAAAAAAAAAAAAGAAAGAAAAGAAAATCACCGCCCAAATGAGTTTTTGACATTTTAGCGAGCATGCCTCACGTGTGTTAGTGCAAAAAAAAAGAAAAAAAAAGGTTGAGAGCCATCGCTGTCTCTATACTTTCTATAAAGGGGCAGAAATCAGGTTAGATAAGATGCCAAAGGGATCCCTTTTATTTTTTTTTTCAGCTGTGTTTGCACAGCCACAAATACATAAAAATGCCGAAGTTTCCTAAAGATGCTTTATTCATACCTTATATAAGACTGAGAAAATGTTGGCTGTCACCAATGGTAAACACTACTCTTGCTGTTGCTGCCGTTATTATCAGTGCGACCTGGGGGTATGGATGGAGGTGCTGAGGGTGCCTGAGCTGCCACCGAGAACCGGCGTCTCTGATCTGTGATTGGCTGGAACGTGAGTGCCATCTGTAACCCTGGATGGAGTTTCTCTCTGCAGAACTAAACAGCCCTCCCCATCATCAAGTAAATAACTCCAATACAGCACTGCCGCCCAGACACCCCAGATGTCAGCTTAATCGCCCGAAAGAATTAATAGTGCACCTCTAAGCACGTGATTCACCCAGAGAACAGTTTAGGCGAGCGGAAGAATGTGGCCCATCATACCCCGCACGATCGCTAAATAATATGCAATCACAGAAACGAAGCAGGCATATGGTAATCTCTCCTTGATGTTGAGATTCATTGTAATAAAAGCGCTGTTCGGAACCCTCACGGAGAAATCTGAAAGGCATACCTTTCTTCTCCGGAAGGAACATTATGATAAGACAAGCCAGTCCTCCTAGGCACAGAAATGCTGCCAGGGTCCGCTTCCGGCCACACCTAAACGATGGAAAGAAATCGCATGTTTCTCTTGAGGCTCTATCTTGTAAAGTCATCAGCTGCTTCTCCCAAACCTTCTTTCTGAAACGTCCTCAGTGGCATTATACACGTTTGTCTTGGCTTAAGGAATGGTGGCAAATAGGAGTGACCAGGACATAAAATATGTGACCATCATAACACAAACAACTAGCAGGATGGCCGGATCAAATGCCGTCTGCAGGCAAAGAACAGAGAACCGCTCTATTTCTGACGGTTCACTATGTTCTGAATGCTTTCTGTCAAGTACCTTACTCCTCAAAATAAACCTGTTAGGTGTGTGCTGTGCCCTCTGTCTTCCAGAGAATGAAAATAAATAAAATATGGAGAATGGAGTCTTCCACTCATTTCCTTTCCTCGGTACTTAAATCTTAAGCACTTCAAATTTTATCTTATTTAGTTCTAAAAAAAATCTTTAATGTTTATCTATTTTTGAGAGACATGAGACAAAGTGTGAGCAGGGGAGGGACAGAGGGGGAGACACAGAATCTGAAGCAGGCTCCGGGCTCTGAGCTGTCAGCACAGACTGTGACATGGGACTCGAACTCACAGACTGCGAGATGGTGACCTGAGCCAAAGTCGGACGCTTAACTGACTGAGCCACCCAGGCGCCCCAAACACTTCAAATTTTAAACACTGTAAAACAAGGCTCTCTCTCTTAAAATTGCAGAGTGAAAATAATTTCCTGTTAGTATGTCAGAATCAAGTGAAATTTGTCATGCACTTGGTGAACGGAAATCCTTTTCAAAGAGGAGCTTGAAGCTTGGGTGAAAAGACATTGGCGGTGACGAGCCTCCCTTCACGAGGAGCCTATGGCTTGCTAGGTGCCCTGTAGAACTTCAGTAGTGCCTGTAACTTTTCTGACCATTTTACCAGGAGATTTTATAATCCCCAGTTTAAGGCTAAGTACACGGAAGCTTACTGAGCTTGTCAAAGCCTTACACTAACACATGGCTAAGACTAGACTTGAATTCAGTGGCTAGGAGACAGGGCGGGACGTGGGTCCCTAGGTCACTGTGCATCATATAACACTAGTACTGAATGGCTTTCAGCGGGCAGGCACCATGCTAGGCAGGCAGCGGGGAGGTAAAGCCTGACAGGGAACCCCATGGATGGCGTCCTTCTAGACCTTCAGCGGTCATCAGAGCTGTGCCCGGGCAGCTGTGACAGCACAGAAGAGGGGCACCAGCACGCCAGAGGTCATGGGGATGGATTTCTGAATACGCAGCCTGACCTCGCTCCTGGACCACCGTGACCCCAAGCTTGGTCACTAACAGAGGTTGGCAGAGTCAATTGAGACCCCCCCCCCCCCCCGAGAAAAGCCTTCAACTGAACAGAATCCAAACTTGCCCTTCAGGAGGCACTAAACACACCAGCCATGACCACAGCACCAAGGAATGCTGTTTTGGTTAAAATGATGGTTTCTGGGCTGTGGGACGTGGCACTATCTGGCCGATTCCTAGTTCGTACCAAATGGGGTTTTCGGAGGCCCTGGTCAGGTGCTCAGGATTGGAAGCGACCTCACTAAACCAAGGAAAAGGTAGTCTTGATAGACTTTGAAAAGGCCTTGTAAGACTCCCCACTGACGAGTAGCAAAAGCAGGGGGTATTCCTCCCCTCAACAAAGTAGAGCAGGTCTTAAGGGGAAAGGAAAGTCATTACAGGCCCTCCAGTTCTATGCCGTGTGTAGGAACTTGCCCATCACAGGGGCTGGGTCGATGGAGTTCTATCTATAAAGCCAACACACTATCTGTTGGAGCTAACAAGTGACACACCGACTACTCCAAAACCCTCTGGTGGGAGTGCATTTGGATTGAAAACCTACGTAGGAACCCATAAACAGGAAACCCAAAAACACCACCTTAAAAAATGAATCCTAATTGCATTTGGTCTGAAAATAAATCACCAGGGAGTACTTAACAGACACCACCTGTGGACAAAGACACTAACATTTAAGTAGTTATGGATACAAGAGCTTGCGTATGTGTGTATCTGACATGGTGCACGTCGTATTCACCTATACTCACCACTTTTGGTTAATCAAGTAGATGCAGATTGGGTAAGAAGGGATCTCTATGAGGCCAGACAGGGCCAGGTTGGCATAAATATTTCCGCCTAGATCCCCTGCACTCAGAGTGAGGCCATAATACACCAAGCTGCACACAAACCTGCAGTTGGGGGTGAAAGACAAGAAGGACAACAGAACAAGTATGTGAGAATCTGCCAGAGAAGACTCAATCACTGGTTCGGGGTAATGCCATGTGTCTGAGGCAATGAGCTTGACGTTCCTACATCCCAATGTAAACTTTACTACGAAAAAATACAAAGGTAAGGGGCCTTGGAAATGATCTGAGCTGCCCCTAGATGTTCTCCAAAGCAAATGAGCGGTCAGCTCCTGAAAGAGCAAACATGTTGACCTTTCGTCACAATACCTGCATTTAACGGAAGACAAAGACTATTCCTACTTTAACCCAGCAGTTAATGGAACACTTGTCATAGGGGATTGCTGGGTCAAAACGAGTCTAGAAAAGAACTCCCATGGGCACCTGGATGGTTTAGTCGGTTAAGCGTCTGACTTCCGCTCAGGTCATGATCTCACGGTTAGTGAGTTCGAGCCCCACATCGGGCTCTGTGCTGACAGCTTGGAGCCTGGAGCCTGCTTCGGATTCTGAGCCTCCCTCTCTCTCTGCTCTTCCCCTGCTCATGCTCTGTCTCTCTCTCCTTCAAAAATAAACATTAAAAAACATTAAAAAAAGAAAGAACTCCCATGGGAAAGCCAACGGAGGATGGTGTTGAGAACATGCACTGAGAAGGGACTAGAGTCAGTGGTGGTGACTTACAGGGCCGGAAATGGCTGGCACTGCACTCCCTGACCAGGTTCCTGATCCCACCCAGCATTCAGCAGGTGTCTGCTGTAGACACCCAGACAGGAAAGAGAAGGCCAGGGCCTCAGCAGAGGCAGGGTCCTCCAGGAGGATCAGCTGAGGAAGGGCCCTTTAAGAGGGTACTAGCTTATTTCTGCATGCTGTTACTGTAATACTTAGGGACAGCCTCATGGGTGGCAGGCACTGAGCCAACCTCTGAAGGTCTGGGAACTGAGGAACCCAGGGGCTTTCATGTTTATTTATTTTTGAGAGAGAGCACAAGCATTGGGAGGGACAGAAAGAGGGGGACAGAGGATCTGAAGCAGGCTCCACGCTGACAGCAGAGAGCCCGACGCCGGCCTCGAACTCAGGAACCACGAGATCATGACCCGTGCCAAAGTCGGATGCCCAAATGACGAAGCTCACCAGGTGCCTCCCATGCGTCCCAAGCCCAAGAGCTTTAAATATGCCACACAAAGTACCATCCTGAAGCTCCACACGGAGAAGGGAATAATACAAACTTGTGTGGCTAGGAAGCTGCGTTATTAAAAATAAAACAGGACAGAATGAAGAAAAATAAAACCCTGAAACTAGGCTTTACTAGTCTACGAGTATGTTTTAGGCACCAGACACTTCTATTAAATGCACTACAGGTTTTGGGAGCCTATCAGTTTTTGCAATTCCCTTGGACGGGTGTTTATTCTGGGGACGTTTCCGTTGGCTTCCCTTTAGTTTTCCTTAGAAAAAATCCAATGAGCTGTGGCATGATGAGATCAAACAGGAAAGGCAAAGCGTTCTTTCCATCTCTGCCAAGGCAGCAAAGTGGGCCGAGCGCCCTGGGCTATGAAGAAGGGGCTGCAGTGAGCAGGGGCCGCGCAGGAGGTGGGAAGCGGGGGCCCTGGAGCTCCACTGCTTCACGCTCATCCCTGCGTGGCAACCGAGTACTTCCCATTGCCTCTCACTGGGTGGAGCTGTCACCCGCCTTCTAAGGATGATGGGCAGTGTCAGAGCCAGGACGTCATGTGTAAGGATGCAGGGAACACGGAGTTGTCTGTCTTCCCTGTCCCCCCAGCACCCTGTCTGTAAGCTGTGAGCTAAGCAAATTTAAACCCATGCAGTCTTCTAGAGTATGTTTAAAATCCTTTATACCTGCAGTACATGCCCTCTTTTGGGTCTCTATCAGGGTGTGTCTACTCTGCATTTAAAATAGAAACCCCAGGGGTGCCTGGGTGGCTCAGTCGCTTGAGCCTCCGACTTCGTTCGGCTCAGGTCATAATCTCACAGTTCATGAGTTCGAGCCCCACGTTGGGCTCCGTGCTGACAGCTTGGAGCCTGAAGCCTGCTTGGATTCTGTGTCTCCCTCTCTCTCTCCCCCTCCCCCTCTTATGCTCTGTCTCTCCCTCTCTCGAAAATAAGTAAACATTTAAAAAAATCATGAAAACAAATAAATAAACTAACTATCCCTGTGAAGCAATTCCCGCCATGGAAACACACATGCATATTTAAACCCAGTTGTGAAAGCAGCAGGTCAGGCCCACATAAACAAAGCCCAGTTCAGGACGTGAGAGGCACTCAGTGCCCGCTGGTGGGGAGCAAGAACGGGGAGAGCACAGGCAGGGAAGGCCTAGGGTCCCAAGGCGAGGACTGTGCTTGCAAAGTTCCTTAATGGCAAGTTGGTCATTGGGATGAGTAATTCCAGCTATTAAAATAATTTCGATCCGCTTTATGGGCCCTGAGCATACTTTAAAATGCCTTCATAATATTTAATGGTATATTTAGGGCATCAAAGAACTGGTGAAAAAGGAGCCGCTGTGGGGAGTAGCCAGAAGAACAGATGTGAGACACAGAGGTATAATTTTACCACGGGGAAGGGCTTTCTTCAATGACGGATGGACAGAAAAGAATTCTGAATTTTATGGCAGCTGCAAAAAGAGTGGCATTATGTGGAATGACACTGCCTCTGTGACTGTGTATTTTAGCGCTCGGAGCCCAGAGGGAAGAGGTTTATCTGAGGAGAACTCCTCTGGCTGTGTAAAATATAAAATAAACAGGGACATCGTCCCTGGCCCCGCGTCTGCTTTGTTTGTTCGTCTGTTTTGTTTTTTTTTTGTCCCCCGGAGGCCAGAATCCAGAAGTTAATATGCCTCAGAAGAACAAAAAACCTAAACATAAAAAGTAAATTATCCTCAAGAAGCAGGCAGAGGGTTTGACTGTTTATATGACATGCAAATGCTGAGTTTATGGAGCCCTAAGCGCCTGAATGTATTTTGTAAGCGTGTGCACAAGGCAGAAGCTCAAATTAGTTGCTTCTGTGCTAGGTCGTCAGGTTTGGCTTTTAATGGTTCCTTGGCTCTCTGCGCCTCCAACCTTGTGTCTCCTGTTGAACATTCATTATGCACCTGCCATCTCCCAGCACTGCGCTGGGTCTGTGGGGAAGGCGGTGGGGGGTGCGGCCTGATCATACAGGTGGCAGCCAGGGAGAATCGTGATATGGAAAAGTATATTCACACCTTCTTGTTCTCAGTCTGCTCTTCTTTACAGCTGTGTACCTAAGATCACTTTCATATAAAATTATTACCCCGGGGAAGGCGGGGTGGCTCGGTCGGTTTAGCGGCGGACTTCAGCTCAGGTCATGATCTTGTGGTTCGTGTGTTCGAGCCCCGCGTCGGGCTCTCTGCTGACAGAGCAGCTCCTGCTTTGGAGCCTCTGTCCCCCTCTCTCTCCCCCTCTCTAGCTTGCCCACTCTCTCTCTCTCTCTCTCTCTCAAATCTAAACATTTAGGAAAATAATAATAAAATAGAATAATTCTCCTTAATTCCCACATGAAAATGTAGGTCTCCACGCAGCCTTCGAGGCAAATATATACCAACCACAGCACAGCAGTCCTTTAGGCCAGTAAATATGATGCTCCCACCTGATACTGGACCAAATAACATCTATGGCATCCTAGCACTTGGTGCAGGCATACCGAGGAGATATAGCGGGTTACGTTCCAGAACACTGTAATCGCAATAAAGCAATGATCACAGTAAGGCAAGTCAAATGAACTTTTTTGCTTCCCAGTGCATATAAAAGTTATGTTTACACTGCTATAGTTGGGTATGTGTGCAAAAGCATTAGGTCTAAAAGATCAATACACATACCTAATTACAAATATTTTATTGCTAAAGAGCGCTAACCATCATCTGAGCTTTAAGCAAGTCATCATCTTTCTGCCGATGGCAGGTCTTGCCTTGATGTGGATGCTGCTGACTGAAGAGGGTGGTGGCCGCTGAAGGTTGGGTGGCTGTGGCAATTTCTGAAGACAGCAGTAAACTTTGCCCCATTGATCTACTCTTTCTTTCACAATCAGTTCTCTGTAGCATGTGAAGCTGTGGGGCAGCACTTTGCCCACAGTAGAAGTTCTTTCAAAACTGGAGTCAATCCTCTCAAACCCTGCAGCTGCTTTATCAAAGAAGTTTCTGGAATGTTCTAAACCCTGTGTTGTCATTTCAACAGTCTGCAAAGCATCTTCACCAGGGGCAGATTCCATCTCAAGAAACCATTGTCTGCACATCCGTCACAGGCAGCTCCGCACCCGCTCAAGTTTGATTGTGAGATCGTAGCTGTTCAGTCCCATCTTCAGGCTCCACTTCTCATTCTAGCTCACTTGCTGTTTCCACCACATCCACAGCTACTGCCTCCCCTGGAGTCTGGAACCCCTCAAAGTCTTCCATGAGGGATGGACTCAACTCCCGTTAATGTTGATATCGTGACCTCTTACCATGAATCACAAATGTTTTTTTTTTTAGAGCGGAGTTTCATGGTTTAATATTTTTTAAATATAATTTATTGTAAAATTGGTTTCCATACAACACCCAGTGCTCATCCCAAGTGCCCTCCTCCACGCCCATCACCCGCCTTCCCCTCTCCCCCACCCCCATCAACCCTCAATTTGTTCTCAGTATTTAAGAGTCTCTTATGGTTTGCCTCCCTCCCTCTCTGTAACTATTTTTCCTCTTCCCCCGCCCCCGATAGTCCTCTGTTAAGTTTCTCCTGTTCCACATATGAGTGAAAACATATGGTATCTATCTTTTGCTGCCTGACTTATTTTACTTAGCATAATACCCTCCAGTTTCATCCATGTTGCTGCAAATGGCCAGATTTCATTCTTTCTCATTGCCATGTAGTATTCCACTATGTATATAAGCCACGTCTTCTTGATCCATTCATCAGTTGATGGACACTTAGGCTCTTTCCATGTTTTGGCTATTGTTGAGAGTGCTGCTGTGAACATTGGGGTACATGTGCCCCTATGCATCAGCACTCCTGTATCCCTCGGGTAAATTCCTAGCAGTGCTACTGCTGAGTCATAGGGGAGTTCTATTGTTAATTTTTTGAGGAACCTCCACACTGTTTACCAGAGGAGCTGCACCAGTTTACATTCCCACCAGCAGTGTAGGAGGGTGCCCGCTTTTCCACATCCTCACCTGTTTCTACAGTCTCCTGATTTGTTCATTTGAGCCACTCTGACCAGCGTGAGGTGGCATCTCAGTGTGGTTTTGATTTGTATTTCCCTGATGATGAGGGACGCTGAGCATCGTTTCATGTGTCTCTTGGCCATCTGGATGTCTTTTTTGGAAAAGTGTCTATTCATGTCTTCTGCCTATTTCTTCACTGGATTATTTATTTTTCAGGTGTAGAGTTTGGTGAGTTCCTTATAGATTTTGGATACCAGCCCTTTAGCCAATATGTTATTTGCAACTATCTTTTCCCATTCCGTCAGTTGCCTGTTAGTTTCAATGATTGTTTCCTTTGCCATGCAGAAGCTTTTCATCTTGATGAGGTCTCAATAGTTCATTTTTGCTTTTGATTCCCTTGCTTTTGGGGATGTGTCGAGTAAGAAATGGCTGCGGCTGAGGTCAAGGAGGTTGTTTCCTACTTTCTCCTCTAGAGTTTTAATGGTTTCCTGTCTCACATTGAGGCCCTTCATCCATTTTGAGTTTATTTTTGTGTATAGTGTGAGAAAGTAACATTCTTTTGTTAATGTGATGTATCACATTGACTGATTTGCAAATATTGAATCAGTCCTGCATCCCAGGAATGAATCCCATTTGATCATGGTGAATAATTCTTTTTATATGCTGTTGAATTCGATTTGCTAGTATCTTGTTGAGAATTTTTGCATCCATATTCATCAGGGATATTGGCATGTAGTTCTCTTTTTTTGCTGGATCTCTGTCTGGTTTGGGAATCAAAGTGATGTTGACTTCGTAGAATGAGTCCGGAAGTTTTTCTTCCATTTCTATTTTTTGGAACAGCTTGAGAAGTATAGGAATTAGCTCTGTTTTAAATGTCTGATAGAATTCCCGAGGGAAGCCATATGGTTCAGGGGGCTTATTTATTGGGAGATTTTTGATAACTGATTCAATTTCTTCACTAGTTATGGGTCTGTTCAGACTTTCTATTTCTTCCCATTTGAGTTTTGGTAGTGGAATCACAAATGTTCTTAATGGCATCTAGTGATGCCAACAGTGAATCCTTTCCAGATGGTTTTCCATTTACTTTGCCCAGATCCATCAGAGGCATCACTATCTAGGGCACCAATATCCTTATGAAATGTATGTCTTAAATAAGATTGAAATTACTTAAAGTTGAAGTTACTCCTTGATCCATGAGCTGGAGAAGGTTGTTTTAGCAGGCATAAAAACAACATTAATCTCATTGCACATCTCCATCTGAGCTCTTGAGTGGCCAGGTGCGTTGTCAATACACAGTAATATTTTGAAAAGAATCTTTTTTAAAAAATCATTTTTAAAGTTTATTTATATTGAAAGAGAGAGAAAGCATGTGTGTGAGGGTGGGGGAGGGGCAGAGCGGGGGGAGAGAGAATCTCAAGCAGCCTGCACGCCATCAGCTAAGAGCCCTACATGGGCTCGATCTCATGAACCACGAGATCATAACCCAAGCCCAAATCAAAAGCTGGATGCCAACCAAATGACCCACCCAGGCACTCCAGAATCTTTTTTTTTTTCTGAGCAGTAGGTCGCAAAGGTGGGCTTAAAATATTTAGTAAATCATGTTGTAAATAAATGTGCTGTCATCCAGGCTTGGTTATTACATTTACAGAGCACAGGCAGAATATATTTAGCATCATTCTTTTTCCTTAAGTTTATTTCTATATTGTAAGAGAGAGAGTGCGAGCAGAGGAGGGTCAGAGAAAGAGGGAGAGAGAGAGAATCCCAAGCAGGCTTCACACTGTCAGTAAGGAGCCTGATGTAGGGCTCGAACTCACAAACTACAAGTTCATCACCTGAGCTGAAATCAAGAGTCAGACACTTAACCAACTGAGCCACCTAGAACCCCTAGATTTAGCATAATTCTTAAGGGCCCTAGAATTTTCAGAATCATCAATGAGCACTGGCTTCCACTTAAAGTCACCAGCTGCATTAGTCCCTAGCAAGAGAGTCAGCCTGTCCTTGGAAGCCAGGCATTGACTTCTCCTCTCTAGCCATAAAAGTCCTCTGTGGCATCTCCTTCCAAAAGAAGGCTGCTTCATCTACATGGAAATCTGCTGTTTAGGGGAGCCACCTTCATGAGCTGACTTATTAGCTGGACCTCCCGGAGAACTTGCTGTAGCTTCTACCTCAGCACTGCTGCTTCACCATGTGCTCTTACATTGTGATGATCTTATGACCCAACCTCTGCTAGTTTCAGACTTTCCTTCTGCAGCCTCCTGACCTCCCAGCCTTCATAGAAGGGTAGAGGGAGTGTTGCTCTTGGCCAGGTTTTGGCTTAAGGGAATGTTGTAGCTGATTTGGTCTTCTCTCCAGACCACTCAAACTTTCCCCATATCAGCAATAGCGCTGTTTTTCTTAGCATTCATGTTGTTCACTGGAGTAGCACTTTTCATTTTCTTCCAGAACTTTTCCTTCACTGCTGTTTGGTACCAGAATTCTAGCTTTTGGTCTATCTTGGCTTTTGACCTCCCTTCTTCACTAAGCTGAGTCATTTCTAGCTTTTGACTTAAAGTGAGAGATACATGACTGTTCTCTTCATCTGGACACTGGGAAGCCACTGTAGGGTTATTCACTAGCCCAAACCCAGTACTGTTGTGTCCCAGGCAGAGAGAGTCCCAGAAGAAGAGAGATAGGGGAATGGCCAGTCAGTGGAGGAGTGGGAACACACACAACATTTATTAGGTTCGCTGTCTTCTATGGGTGTGGTTCATGGCGCCCTAAAACAATTATAGTAGTAAATTATATAGTAAAGAGCACTGATCACAGATCACCATGGCAAATAGAACAATGAAAAAGTTCGACACAGCGACATGAAGTGAACAAATACCGTTAGAAAATGGTACCAAAAGACTCACTTGACACAGGGTTGCCACCAACCTCCAACTGTAAAAAACATGGTAGGTTTACACAGTACTCAAATATTCACTGCCACCCTCTTCTCCCTTTCCCACATCATTCTTTAAATGGAACCATCTTCAACATTCAATGCAATTTACATGAACGCTGAGGGCATTCTGAGAGGCATGTAGGAATACGCTATTCAAGTGGCTTCGAGTACATCATTTCACACTACCAGAATCCCAGCCAGCCAAGGAACAACACCGCCCACCCTCAGAGTGAGTGAGGGGGAGGGGACGCCACAGAGTGCAGCACGGAGCACAGCAACCAGAATATGCTGTCTGACCACTTCATGCTAAACCAAATGTAGGTATTTTAAACTCCTACTTAGAAACTCTTCTGTTTCTAATATGCTATCTTGCTTTTCTCTTATTTTTAGAGGTAGGGGGGCAGTTCTTAAATAATTACATTAAATCGCTCAGGAGCAAAGATGTGCTCCTGCTGTCTATTTATTCAAGTTCAGTGAACCTGTGGTCAGGCCCCCATCAGTTCCTCCTGGACAGGGAGGGTGCTGCAAGAGCATAGGTGAGCACAGTGGAGGCACTCAGAGACAGGAGTCTTGCATTTGTGAAAATAGCTTCAGGCTGACAAATGGGGTAACATTTCCTGTCACCCTGCAGAAGGACGTAATCAACAGACACTCAGCACCCTGAGTTGAAGGTCAAGACAACATCCCTTGGATATAATTACCAGATGAACATCAGGGTCAGCGTGTGCCCCATGAGGATCCGGTAACGGAAGAGATCCAGGAAACTTCCAGTCTCCCTGTAGCTCCTGCTGGCCGGATGCGTTAGTGAGAACGTACACTTGACCTTGCGGTTCCTCTTGGCAATGAGGTACAGAGCCGCTTCGGCCTCACTCAGCCGACCCTGGGAGTATAACCAACGAGGTGATTCAGGAATGAATCTGAAAGAGATGTCATTAAAGGCTGGATATTCAGATAGGTATGTGGGCACAGGAAGGAGCACGCAGATCTCCTCAATCACAACTGGATTCCATAAGAGGTTTCAAACCAACTCTCCCAATGACAAGAGGGCGGGGGGGGGGGGGTCCCAACAGCATGCCAGTGTTAAACCATGGTCTGCTTTATGAATGGAACCAATAACACGCTTCCAAAACCACAGGAAAAAAAAAAAGGTAAGCAGTATGCATTTCCTTAGAAACACATGTTAATAGGTGGATGGCAAGTTAAGCCTAGAATACTGAATAATTCGAATTTTTCATAAAGCACAGGTCAGAGAGAGGGCTCTAAATCATAGTCATGTGTTGCAACAATACTACAGAGATAGCAGGTGTTTAAGTTCTGACAAAACCTTGCAAAGAAGATGAAAATATTTGTCTTCTCAAAAAAAAAAAAAATTTGTAAAAAGTGTTTTTAGGGGCGCCTGAGTGGCTCAGTTGGTTGGGTGTCTGACTTCAACTCAGGTCATGATCTCACGGTTTGTGGGTTTGAGCCCCGTGTCCGGCTCTGTGCTGACAGTTCGGAGCCTGGAGCCTGCTTCAGACTCTGTGTCTCCCTCCCTCTCTGCCCCTCCTTCTCTCATGCTCTTTCTCTCTCTCTCACTCTCTCTCTCAAAAATAAATAAACATTAAAAAAATAAGAAAAATAAAAAGTGTTTTTAATGTAGTGATATGTTATGAAGGCAGAGATTATTTTAAGACTATACATGAAAATTCAACAGGATGTATCCTATCTTAGCTATATTTGAGCCTTTTCTGCTTCCAAATACTTGAATTAGCTGACACACTGGCTTTAATATGTTGTCAGAATATTTCCTGACCCCCCTCAAGACCTTAAATAAAAGTCGTCTCCTGGTTAACTTCCAGTTACAAAACAACAATTCTCTTCTACTGAATGCTGAATGTCAGTTACATCGCCACTGGTATTTTCTAATAGTTTCAAGACTTAACTCTGATGGGTCTCTTTCCTCTTCACAGCAGTGTGAGCACTTCTAGAGGCCCGAGGACTTGTCAAAGGCCAAGCTGTGACAGGAACAAGGACACAGGTATACTAAATATAGTGCCAGTACCTTCTGATGTAACATGACATTATTTGCTTAGAGTGAAACTTCTCTAAGTAACCTTGGCTATTTAAGGTGACTTTTAGAATTCTGATAGCCTTTCCATTAGGGCAGTGAAGTGGCAACGAAGCCCACAGAATTTGGAACTTTGTGGACAGCCAGTCGGTCAATAACCATTTGTTGAACACGTTCAATTTTATATTGAGCAACGTAGTAGGTGCTTGGAGGAAATAGAAAGGTAGGAATTCTCCCAGAGCTTTGCTACTGGAGAGAGAATATTCATGCAGATCTGACTGTAAGCAAAATCAGGAACGCAGGCCATCCTTTATTTCCTTCTTCGTTGCCCTCTGATTATTATTACTAATACACAAGATGGATGGTCAAGTAAAACACTGTTCTCTTAGAAGTTAGGTCTTTTGATCCTCAAGTGGACCCACCGGCCCTATCCACAAGGCTGCTTACAAGGTACCAAGTAAACTACATGAGTCTAAATGCAAATAAAAAGAGCATAAATGAAGCCTACTGTGTGTGATGAATAGAGAGGGTACACCTGGGAGATAAGTGAGCTACCAGAAGTGTATCATAATAAAAAACAAAAATGAGAACTAGGAGGTGAGGAAAAAAAAGACAAGGAAATAACCAAAATGTTAACAGTTATCTGGCTAATTTAGGTCATTTTTCCATTCTCCTCAAACGTCCATGTTTACAGAACTGTTGATAAGCATGAATTACTGTTAACATGGTTATGAATCATTGTTAAAGATGAGACTTGAGAGATATTGAGGCTTTGGAAATTTGAGTTAATAAAGGATTTCTACTTTATTAGAAATAAACATGTTGAGGGGCGCCTGGGTGGCTTAGTCGGTTAAGCGTCCAACTTTCACTTAGGTCATGATCTCGCGGTTCGTGGGTTCGAGTCCCGCATTGGGCTCTGTGCTGAATGCCAGCTCAGAGCCTGGAGCCTATTTCAGAGTCTGTGTCTCCCTCTCTCTCTGACCCTCCCCTGCTCACACTGTCTCTCTCTCTCTCCTAGAAATAAATAAAAATATTTTTTAAAAAAAGAAATAAATATGAGGAAAGTGTGTACCTCGTACACAAACTGAGGACCAGACACATTCCCACATCTGGGGAAGCCAATGGGCTTACTTACACAAAGCCTCACCCAGCTGCTGATGGATGGACTTGGGGATATAAATTCAAACACATGCAGATTTTGCACATCAAACAGCGAGATGTGTTCTTAAAAGAAAAAGCAGTCTGTGGGGCGCCTGGGTGGCTTAGTCGGTTAAGCATCCGACTTTCGCTTAGGTCATGATCTCGCGGTTCGTGGGTTCAAGCCCCGCGTCGGGCTCTGTGCTGACTGCCAGCTCAGAGCATGGAGCCTGTTTCAGTCTGTGACTCCCTCTCTCTGGCCCTCCCCTGCTCACACTGTCTCTCTCTCTCTCTCTCCTAGAAATAAATAAAAAAAGAAAAGAAAAAAAAAGAAAAGAAAAAAAAAGAAAAGAAAAGAAAAGAAAAGAAAAGAAAAGAAAAGAAAAGAAAAGAAAAGAAAAGAAAAGAAAAGAAAAGAAAAAAGAAAAAGCAGTCTTTGAACACCGTGCCCTCTCCATGGTGCTGAGGCCAACTTCAGAAGCCATGGTGCTAATTCAACAATGTTGCCTCGGCTCGCAACCCGTCCTGTGAATCTCTTAGAAGATGAAAATCTTGGTAAATTATGGGAGTGCTGATTTTTAGGTAAATCTGCTCAAATCCAAGTACAGTGAAAACGAGGAATTTTTAAACTCAGCGATAATGTTTCTAGAACAACAAAAACACAAGGTATGAATCTAAAATAATGTGATATTTTCATATGCGGCTGATGGCTCATTCTGAAGGCTAATTCTAGATGTTTTGGGGTAACACCTGTCCAATGGGTGCGAGGGGTCTTCTGGGTGGAAGGTGCTGGGCTTTGCTGCTGGAGGACGCGTAACAAAGCTGAGAGCCTACAGCCATCTGGGAGCTCCTGGTGCAGGAAGAGACGGGCTCCACTCCAGCGGGAGGCGGAAACAAGAGCCCCGCTCGAAGGGCATGGGTTGAGTGCTACAGAATTCAGAAGCAAATGGCTTGTAGCTGGAGGTGTGATCAGGAGAAGTTTGGAGGGGGTGGCGCTTGAACACTAGGAGTTAAACAGGAAGAAATGGAGGGAAGGCTGTTAAAGGGGCAGATGCGGCAGCGAGTAGGAGGCAGGGAAACTGCACGGCTCATGGTGAGTGTGGGTGACTCCACGCAGCTGCCGTGTCCGGAACACGGGATGCGGGAAACAGGGTGAGAGGAAACCACTGATTTCAGGACAGATCAACTGGAAGCCACCTGTGGGAAGCCTTGCATTCTAGGCCTATTTTGGATTTACATGGTCTTTTCCCTTCGTTTCCTCTTTGTTCCTGACCTGAATTCACGTCCCAGTGAGTAAATGCCCCCACCCAGCACTGGGGCCGTAACAAATTCAGACCACATTCAGAAAAGAAAGTCAGAACGGCTCATGTGATCCATCAAAGTCACTCTACTATGGAAGGAGAGAGGACAGACAGACTGGAATGAGAAATAACAGACTGATTGTTTAAAAAGAAAATTTATTTATCTACCAATATTTACATGAATGCTCATTAATTCAAGGACTGTACTAGGCACCCATTTATCCCCCAAATTTATAAAACATGAACTGACAAAATATTGTTAGTTTCCCTTTCTAGTAAAACTATCTCAGTCCAACTCACATAACTGAATACATTTAATATTTTTCTTTTTTAAGTATAGGTAAACTGGGGCACTTGAATGGCTCAGTTGGTTGGGTGTCCAACTCCTGATTTTGGCTCAGGTTATGAACCCAGCATTGTGAGACTGAACCCCATGTAAATCTCCATGCTGAGTGTGATGCCTGCTTGAGAATCCCTCTCTCCCTCTGCCCGTCTCCCACTCTTCCTCTCTCTCTCAAAAAAGAAAGTATAGGTAAGCTATTTCTATTTTATCCTTTTTCTCAAGTTTATTTATTTTTAAGTAATCTTTTTGTGAAAAAAAATTTTACATGTTTTATTTATTTTTGAAAGAGAGAGCATGAGCAGGGGAGGGGCAGAGAGAGGGGGACAGAGGATCCAAAGTGGTCTCCATTCTGTCAGCACAGAGCCCAATATGGGGCTCAGACCCACAAACCATGAGATCATGACCTGACCCAAAGTCAGACACTCAACTGACTGAGCCACCGAGGTGCCCCTTAAGCAATCTTTACGCTCAACATGGGTCTAGAACCCATGACCCCGAGATCAAGAATTGTATACTCTTCTTACTGAGCCAGTCAGACGCCCACTGTTATATTCATTTTTGTGCTTAATTCTCTTATTTCAAAGAGAATATGGGAGCAGATTTCAGTTCAATCCTCACCGAGCCTCAGTTAGCAGAACTTGAAGAAAGAACTACTACATTCAAGATGTATCTGAAGGAAAATTCTACTGCAGTCATCCCTCATTTTATAGCACAGAAGTCGGTACCGCTGGCTGGAAAGTTTCATTTATCCCAAAGATTTTCAGGATTAAAATAAGAGGTCTGAAACCTCAGGAGACAGCCTTTCATAAGCACACCAAAACTTCCGGTGAGGTAAAACTAAAAACCTGAAGGTCTTAAATATCATTAAAATGATGAAATAATATTATTTCTTTGAGACTAAAGCTCAGAAGGTGGTATAGTATTTACGGGTGAAACTGGGTTTCTGGGCCCCAACAAGATGGTCGGCATATAACGTTAGTTTTACGGAGAACTCTGTAAAGGTCTCTTAAATATTTGTTTCATTGTTACTGGAATCTATTTAGGGAGAAATATTAACAAATAATATTATCGTATTCTACATTATATGATACATATTCTATAAGAAACAATATTAATAAAGTATTTGCTGTGGGGGAAAAGCACCAGTAAAAGAGCTCACCTCACCGTGTTTAGAGTGCCATGGTGTGGCACCGCAGCGAGTCGCCTGGAGCCCCTACCCTGGCCAGGGGATCACACTTTACTGCACTGAGCCGTCCACACTAAGGGCTTCTGCCGTACCTGCGAGTCCTCCCGCACCCACAGTTAGACGCCCGGAGATAACAGGCTCAGGATGTCGACCACCCACTACATATCTGATGTGGATGGTCTGTCTGCCTGGCGGTGACGTGCCTGAGTCACACATCTAGCACGTGCTCTGATCCAGCCTGAGGATCTTTACGCTTGGGGCAGTAGGTTAAAAAAGAAACTGGTACCCTGGGTCAACCACCCACAGGTCCAAATATGGTCTACGGGCTGGTGCCTTCACCCAAGGGACACCTGCATTCCGAATTAATTAAGCATCTCTCCTCCCAGTGCCTGCTGGATTTGGCTCTTCGCCAAAGTCAGTTCAGGCAAACTCCTGAAAGGGAATAGCATCGCTCATTGGCCCGCATCCTCTTATGCCCTCTGCTTCTTAAACTAAACCTCATAAGAGGAAAAAGTACTTACAAAGACAGAAGAAAGACCACCGTTCCCTGCAGGTTAACCAGCACGGCAAGGGTCCTCCAGGAGCGGATGAAGTATCCCAACAGGGCATACTGGGCGATGCCAACCGCGAAGAACAGGCCACCGATGGATCCTAATTCGGGGAAAAGATGCCTGTCACAGGAGGAAGCCCCATCCCTTGCCAACCCAAGTCACAAGCTGGTGCCTTCCTAGGGAGATGCCAATGGGAAGGAAAATCCTACCCAAATACTCAGTATCAAAGGATCAACGTGGAGGAGAGGCCAGCAAGTTAGTGGCAAAGGAGGAAGGACAAGGAGAAAAGTACAAGGCAGATTTTAAGGGTTTGTCCAAATGCTTTCTGCACTCAAGCCCGTCCTGACAATTGCCTGGCCTGTGATTGCAATCCTGGGACTTTGCCTTTTCACAAGGCTGTGCCTCAGATCCTTATTTTACATCACAGGCTACTCAGTTCTCCATATTGCCCTGCCCTACTTCATTTATTACCACCAGATATATGACATTTTCTATTTGTTTGTCTGTCTCCATGAAGCATGGATTTTTACCAGCATCCTGATCGAAAAACAACCACGGGATTGTTTAAAAAACTCCTATGTTTTTTGAAATAAATGCTGAGATAGGTAGTAAGCCCACTAGCTTTGCTCAGTATACTTGTGAATTTCTACCTGGGACACACCTTCCACAACTGCTACTATCACTATCAGTAGCAGTAAGAGCTACTACTTATTGTGTGTTAAGCCTTTTACACGCATTGTCCTATAAAGCAGGTGCCTTACGCCTATGCAAAGAGGAAACAGCACAGAGAGGTTGGGTGCCCAGGGCATGGAGCTGTGTGCATGGCTGGGACCCCACCCCCAGTTTGCCTGACGACAGAGCCTGTGTGCTGTCCCAATCCTCTCTCTCCACCCTTCAGGGGGAAAGCGGGCTTCCGTGGGCAAATCATGGCAACAGGATGCTGTTGATCTTGTGACAAGAGTTCTCTTCAACAATCCTATCAAAGAAATGCTGACTTGCGTTCTTGTCCACAGATCTTCATTTTCTAGCAATAATGACTTGTAGACTCTGTGCCCTGGTGAGGAAAGGGGGGGAAGAGGGGAGAGCCGAAGCGGCACCTTCAGCGTGTTCAGGACACGTGGCCAGCCAGCTACATAAGGAAGTGGGACGCTATGATTTCCCTGGAAACTTAAGATAATCAATAGCTATTACAGGTTCATTACGGTGCATCAGACAGCACCTGGCTTCCAAGAATAAGACTGTCTGTCATTGCTCAGAACAGCTCCGAGCGCTCGGTATCCACTGACAGCAACATGGGCGAAAGGAAGACAGCCCACACAATGGGACCATTTAGAGGGGCTGAGTTCAGACCCCAATTCTGCCGCTTGCTGTGGTGCACAAATCACTAAACGTCTCCCAGCCTCAGTTTCCTCATCAGTAAAACAGAAATCATAATACCTACCTCGAAGAGCAGTTGTTAACTTCAGACAAAATAATGCATGCTATACAAATGTCAGCTATGCTGTCCTGCTGTACACGTGCGTATAGCCCCTGACATCTATTAACTTTCCCCCGCCCCAAGCAAACCCATCTGGAAGCCACCTGTGGTGAGTATCTGCTACAAAATATTGTCTCCCTAGCACTGTATCTAATTCCAAGAATACTCCTTCCCCTTTCCGGAAAGCGGATCTCTCTTTACTCCATTTCCGTGGTTCAAGTGGGGGCTGCCCATCCTGGCCCCCACTGCAGCGACCTCTGCTGGGCTGGTGGAGCGCTTACACAGGATTATGTTTTAAGTCGTCTCTACACCCAACGTGGGGCTTGAACTCACAATCTCATGACCCAGAGTCTCATGCTCCACCGACTGAGCCAGCCCGGTGCCCCTTACCCAGGAGTTTAAATACTACACTTGATAGTAAATCCAGAGAGCTACGGGGTCCTATCCCTGAATGTACCAGAAGCTTCTCGGGTGGGGTGGTGGGGTAGGGGGGAGACAAGGAGCATCTGACTTCCTGGTTCCAGGCTTCTCTGAGGCCTGGCTCTTCAGAGGTTTGGTTATATTCTCCAAATAATTTCCCTTCAGACACATATGCTCCTCAGAGTTGAGTCTCCATCACTTACAATCAGCTAAGAGTTGGTATCAATTGGGTGTGATAGGTAAGAGGAAATGATTCAAAGGGGTCTAGTTCAATGGCCTTAAATGCTGTGATGACCATGCACAGAGGTGCTGGGAGATGGAGATTTGAGGTGAAAGAAAGTAATGTTTTTACTTGAGGGTCTCAGTGACACTCCTATTTAACGTCCAGCAAGATGCAGCACGTGTATGCCTGGAAATGACAACGGAGATAGGGCGTGGAGATGCAGATGTGGTTATTTGGTTAAAAAAAAAAAAGGTAATAAAAAAATACGAGCATTTCAAATCGCCACTTCTGCACATTGTAATTCTGGAGAACCACACTGGTGGTTTTAAAACTGCTGATGGGCCATTGGATATTTATCCTACTTTTCCCATTTCTTTTGTTTTAAATAATTCCCAAGCCTGCTATTTTTGCTCAGTTTGCACAAGTAAAAGCCAAATTTTGGCAGGTCTGACTTCATTTTTGTAAAGGGTACCAGCGATCCACCCAGTTTTCGAGCAAAGCCACGAGGTCCCCCGATTCCTCTTTTCTCCCCACTCCGATCCTTCAGCAAGTCACTGTGCCCCCCAAATCCAGCTCAAACGGATCTCTTCCCTGCTCCTCTCCCTGTACCTGTCTAAGCCTGTTCCACGTTTCACGGGCCAACCACAACCACCTCCCAAATGACCCCGCAATTTCCCCTCTTGTCCCTCCATAGTCTGTTCCCCCACCTCTGCCAGGGTCGGCTTTCTGTATCCATTCTGATCCTATCACTCTGCTACTTCACTCACCCACTGACTTCTCACTGCACTTTGAACAGAAACAAATTTCTCATTTGGCCTAGCACGGGCCTTCTGTAATCTGGTCCCTCTGATGTGTCCCTCCCTGACCCATGAGAGAAGTATTTAATAAATACAGTAAGAAGGCACTGGGAGAGAGTGTCTAGGATTTCCTAGGTTTGCCATATTTTTCAGTTTAAGGTGAAAGCAGTTAATGCCCTTTTGAGGAAACAGACGCTCTCGGAATAATCTGGAGACAATCTGTGAGGATGTGAGGGAAGTTCCCCATCTATGAGGCAGACCCCAGGGGAGACTTTCTACAGAGGACTACGAATAAAATGACTCATTCAAGGTCACACAGAACAAACTGTGGAACGCAGATCTAATGGTTAGATAGACAGTCTCAAGTCCAAGTGCATTTTTGGACTCTGGGGCTAAACTGGTTCCCAATGGGGTTTTCTGGGGCCAATCGCCATCCCCCTTATCTGCGCGGAGTGAGGCAGTACCTGCGAGTGCCCAGTAGGCAGTGCCCACACATTCGTTCAGCAGGACAAAGGCCACCAGGGACATGCCTCCGTTCATCACACCCACCAGGAAGCGGGTTATTGCAAAGAACTCGTAGGAGGGGGAAAACCCATTGGCAATAGCAAATAAGATGTCAAGAGCAAAACCTAGAATAAGAGGGATAGTCATCAATAATCCAGACAGAAAACAGCATTTGATCAAAGTAACAAATGATACTCGTTACATTTGTAAAGATACATCTTTGTAAACTTAAATTTTCTGAGCTGTGTTTGTTTAAAAAAAAAAAAAAAAACATGTTCTCTTGAAAACTATAAAGAACAACTGAGGTTTTTCTTCCTTCGTTACAAGCTGATATCTGTCGATCATGCGCTGTTCACAGTTCTTCACATTACTGTTGGGAATGGAAAACTCCCAGCCCATCCTCAGCTTGTCAGGAGAACTACAGAGTCTTACAGAACATATTTGACATGAACCAACATGCAAGATGTAAGGAAATGGATCCAGTACCCTGGCTCCATCTCTGATCTCCTTAGAACCACGGTATAAATTGGCATCCCTGAGGTGCAGAAAGTACCATCATCTCTGAAAAGCTTACATGCAAACACGTGGCCTTCCTCAGCTACGCTGCTGGTTTAAAATGCTTTGCTAGCACCAACTCTGGCTGCAGTGTGGCCTCTTGCCTGTGTAATAAAAATCAGTTCTGTATCCAGGGGCAACTCTCTGAGAACCTTAAGGAAATAGTCCCCTAATTATCTCCCTTAGAACCTTAGGGAAATAAGTCCTCGTATTCAGTGCATGAGCACTCTCGTGGCTCACCTGTGAGATAGACTTTTTTCCTTCCGAAGCGATCGGACAGCTGACCGAAAGAGATGACTCCCACAAACACCCCACTGAAGAAGAAAGAGCTTGCTGCACTGACTTTGTAGGATCGGTTGGCAATTAAAAACCACTAGAGGAAGAAAAAAACAAAAGGGACATTTAGAGCACAGAAAAGATGGATGGGCTGAGTTGACTGTTAAAAAAACAAACAGATGTACAACCAAAACATATACACTGGAAATTCTCTACTGCAATACCCATTACTGACCAGAATTTGGTAGGTCATTACCCTGGATAATATCCAAGGAGATTTTGTCTTCAGAAGCACTAGACTTCATCATCGTAATGTGCTCCCACCATACACTACGCACATTTTGTTACAGCACTGAATACAGTATATAATAGCTATTTTTATATATGCATTTGGTGACTATGTCCCTCTTCCTAAACTCTTATATTTTTTTAAGCTTACTTATTTATTTTGAGAAAACATGCACATGGGGGAGGGGCAGAGAGAGAGGGATAGAGAGAATCTCAGGCTGTCAGCATGGAACCTGATGTGGGGCTAAAACTCACGAATTGTAGAGCATAACCTGAGCTGAAATCAGGAGTCAGATGCTTAACCTACTGAGCCACCCAGGCGCCCCTAAGTCCTTGTATTCTTGAGAGAAGGAGCTATGACCCACTCATTTCCATTTCTCTGATACCTAACATACAACATGACATATATGAGGCAATCAATGACCAGTCCCTTTCTCTAAGAAGTTAATAGGTTTTAAGTCCCTCGAGTACTTTTCAAAAAAAAATAGTTAATAATAGAAATACCATGTGATCCAGTAAATCCACTTTTGGACATATACACAGAAGACCTGAAAGCAGGAATTCAAACAGATATTTGAACCTTAATGTTCACAACAGCACTATTCACAAAAGCCAAATGAATGGATAACCAAAATGTGGTAGATACATAAAACAAAATATTAAAAATTTTTTTAATTTTTTTGAGAGACAGAGAGATAGAGCATGAGTGGGAGAGGGACAGAGAGAGAGGGAGACATAGAATCTGAAGCAGGCTCCACGCTCTGAGCTGTCAGCACAGAGCCCAACGCAGGGCACAAATACATTGACTGTGAGATCATCACCTGAGCTGAAGTCGGACGCTTAACTGACTGAGCCGCCCAGGTGCCCCCCCCATACAATAGAATATTATGCAGCCTTAAAAAGGAAGGAGGTTTTGACAAGCTACAACAGAGATGAAACTTAACCTTATGCTAAGTAAGTAGATAAAAGACAAATATTGTAAGAACTTATTTATGACTGTAATATTGTGATTTATAGTAAAAACATATACTTGGTCTTCCTCCCCTGCTCCTGCCACACAGTTCCTAAAACCCTCGTAATTTCCTACAGAAATCTTTAGTAATGTTTAGTTTTGTTCCCCGTTCCTGAAATAATTTCAGAGCAACAAAGGAGACGTGGGTGTCCTCTGTTATTTTAACAGCCTCTTTCAACCACATCTCAGTTTATTTACTAAGGTCACTTTTGGAAAGCTCCTTAGATGAGGGCTGGTCACCAAGGGAACCCTCCCTACCCCCCACCCCTGCCTCAGGGGAGGCTGTGAGGGACCGCAAGTTGAGCCAATTGCCAACGGCCAATTATTTGATCAGTTTCGCCGGTATCATGACACCTCCCTAAAATCCCAAAGGGACAGGCGTTCAGCTGGTGAACTCGTGCAGGTGTGGGCACAGTGGTGCCCTGAGAGGGCACGGAAACCCGCGCCCCTCCCACACGCCTCGTCCTGTGCCTCTCTTCCATCAGGCTGTTCCCTGAGTTCTATCCTTTGCAACAAACCCGCAGTCTAGTAAGATGTTTTCCTGAGTCCCGTGAGCTGCTCTGGCAAGTTCATCTATCCTGAGGAGGACACCGCAGCACCCTCTGATTTCTGGTGGATCAGAAACACAGGAAACACTGCAGACTTGCATCCAGCGTCTGAAGGTGGTGGCAGCGTGCACCTTGTGCCATCAGTGGGAATCAGTGGGACGGAGCCCTGAAAGCCATGGGATGCGATGCTACCTCCAGGTGGATGGTGTTGGAAGTGAGTCGCGCTGTAGGACACCCAGCGGGTGTGGCCGAGCTGTGTGATGTGGGGACCTGCCTCATCTGCCCCCACAAACCCTCTCTCATGAGTCTGGTGGCCAGAAGGGTCAGAAGTGAAGCAGTAGATGGTAAAGGAGGCATAGGAGGAAAGTTTATCCTTTACCTGGAGTAGTCAAAGCCAAGGACGGAAAGTAGAATAGGATTACAGGGGGCGGGGTGGGGGAATTGGGGAGTTACTATTTAATGAGAACAGAGTTTCAGTCTGGGAGGATAAAAAAGTTCTAGAGACGGACAGCGGTGACAGTTGCATGGCATGCATATACTTAATGCCACTGTACCCTTACAATGGCTGAAATGTTACATTTTATGTTAGGAATATTTTACCTCAATTAAAAAAAATCCCTTGAGAACGTAAACTGGTACAGCCCCTCTGGAAAACAGTGTGGAGTTTCCTCAAAAAGTTAACAATAGAACTCCCCTATGACCCAGCAATAGCACTGCTAGGAATTCACCCAAGGAATACAGAAATGCTGATGCATAGGAGCACATGTACCCCAATGTTCATAGCAGCACTCTCAACAATAGCCAAAACATGGAAAGAGCCTAAGTGTCCATCAACGGACAAATGGATCAAGAAGATGTGGTTTATCTATACCATGGAATACTACATGGCAATGAGAAAGAATGAAATGTGGCCATGTGTAGCAACACGGATGGACCTTGAGGGTGTTATGCTGAGCGAAATAAGTCAGGCAGAAAAGGACAAATATCATATGTCTGCACATATAGGAGGATTAGGAGGAACTTAACGGAGGACCATGGGGGAGAAGAAGGGGAGAAATGGTGGGGGAAAGGGAGAGAGGCAAACTTTGAGAGACTCTTGAATGCTGAGAACAAACTGAGGACTGATGGGTGTGTGTGGTGGGGGAGATGGGCATGGTGGAGGGCATGTGTGGGGATGAGCATGAGGTGTAAGGAAACCAACTTGACAATAAACTATTTGTAAAAAATAAATAAATAAATAAAAATTTTTTAAAATGAATGAATAAATATAATTACAATCCTCAAAAAAAAACAAAAACCCTTGAGTACTATAATCTTCTAGTTTAGGGAAACTTGTGAACTTAATTAAAGAGAAAGAAATCACCTCCTGCTTAAAACGCTATTATCTGAAACCCTCACTGATGGTGTGTTATGGCGATCTTTGGTTACAAAGGTAGAAGTGGACCTGAATCACAGAGACAGAGAACCAGGAAATGCCAGCCCCTTCTTCTGAAGTCCAGGAAGACAGGCTCAGGAAGAGCCCCAACACGCATGCAAGGAGGCGCACCCCCCCTCCCCCCGCCGTCCCTTCGGGTCTTTGACCTCCCTTCCCATGCTCCGACAAGCAGTCATCAAGGTTCAAAGCACATCTGAGCTTTTTCTCTCTTGTGTTTCCTATAGGACTGCGACGGTGAGGTTCTTGACCACACAGCTTCTGGACGTCTCTGTGCAGCAACAATAACAAAATTCACAGCAATAATGACAATAATATTCACTGGAAAATAAACAAAGATAACGGCTCCTCACTACTGCTGGCTTGACTTCTGGATTCCCCAGTTCCCCCAAACCATCCTTTACAAGGTTAGTGAACTGGTTTTACCAGCCCCTCATGGATGAGAGATCATAGACTAGGGTGTCGCTGCTATTGGAAATAGTAATCAGGAATTGCTGCTCCTGGTGACAGTCATGGTTCGAATACAAGGGATGGAAGCAATGAGACAAACATTTGAGATGTATTCTAGACAGGCTTTCGTTTGGGCAGTCAATAAATACTTGATTAGTTTCTACTGAAGGCTGACAACTACATTAAACACTGGAACACAGATGTGAATAAGCTGGATGTGGCCTCTTCCCTCACAGATGGTCAGTGCCAGCAGAATAAGCACATAGGGATAGACTGGGAGGGCACCTCTCCAAATAGGGTAATCAGGGAAGGCTTCTCTGGGGAGGTGATGTCTGGACCAGAAGTGACCACTCTGAAAAGCTATTTGGGGAACATGAGAAGAAGGGCCCCCACCCTAAGGTGAAGGCCCACCAGTGCACCCCCAGCAGGGTGCCATGATGAGACCAGACAGGTGCGCAGGTGTCAGATCACACAGGGTCCTGGGCCACGGGAAGGAGCTGAGGTATTACTCCAGGGCAAAGGGAAGGTGTTGGATTACTGGAATTATGTTTCTAAAGATCACTCTGACCATTCTTGGAGAGCGCATTACAGCACAGAGAAGTGGGGGCGGGGAGGCTCGTGCACTAGCTCAGGAGACCATGGAGGCTTGCATGAGGGTAGAAGCAATGGTGATGGAGAATGACGAGGACTTGCGATGCATTCCGAAGGCGGAAGTGGCAGGCTTTGCTGATGAATGACACAGGGTGGGGGACAGAGAATCAAGGGTTTCAACTAAGTCGTTGACTTTGGCCACTCACTAGATGACCTTTATTGAGGCGGAGAAGGTGGCAAGTGGGGACCAGGTATGTGATAGGAAAGAAAGAGCTCTGTTTGGACTTGCTAAGGTTGAGGTGCCTATAAAACATCCTAGTGGCAATGCCAAGCAGAAGTCTGGACACGGGTCTGGAGCTCCAGGGAGAGGGAAGAGGCTCAGGGCTGGAGTCCAGGACACCCCCATGTTCAGAGGCAGAGTACAGAATGCCCATTAGAGCAAACTCACAAGTAGGACTCAGAGGCACAGCAGGAAAACAGGGAGGAGCATGGTGTCACAAACACCACGAGAAGAAATCTGATTCGGGGAGGGGGGAGCAGCCAGGCGGGTGGATTCTGCTTTAGAGGTCAGGTAAGATACGGAGACACGCAGTTATATTTAGAAACAAGCAGACACTTCAAAATAGCAATTTCAGTGAAGTGTGAACAGAAGCCTGATTGGAGGAGGATGAGGAGTTGCTGGCAGCAGTGCTATACAAAATGGTTTCTGGAAGTTTTGCTGTGAAGAGGAACCAAGAAATGGGACAGTGTGGGGATGGGTATGTGGGACAGGTTAC